TTTCTCACACCGTCTGCAAAGCCCGGGAGCAACACCACGTCTCCGAGGATCTTTGCCCAGGAGGTCCAAGGGTTTGAGTCACGAGGGTGTCTGTTTTCCGACACTAGCTGCAACTCTGGGAAGAATTTAATAACTATCTGAATAAGAATTCTAACGGTCGGCTGCTCTCATCTATAGTTTTCCGTGTATTTCTGCGATCAATATCTGGCAAATACCGCAGAAAAACGCGCAGTTTTTTTTAAAAATCCCCGTCTATTTATCTTATCCTTCCATGCGTTACACTATCACTCATGTCAGGACGTCGGTCGGGATCTTAAAGCTTGTCCCGGCTAGGGTGGAGGAGAAACTTGGATGGGGAAACCTCCGCCAGTAAACGTGTAGGTTGGCACCGGATCTCGTCTGAATTAACCGAAGCCCTGTTCGTTTGAAATGGATATTTTGGTTTTGGGAGGTAGTTCCGGCTCCTGTCAGGGAAATCTCAAAAACTATGTAAATTGGCACCGGATCACTCGTTCTAGGCGGGAGCACCTTTAACTTTAGGAATATTAAGCGTACTACATTTAGGAGACTTATGAGATAAGTAGAATGAATGTGCTCGAAATCATAAACGTAATTCAATTCAGTGATGTCTTATTTTACAAAGCGAGTCTCACATCTTCATCTTCCACCTGATCACTTGAACTTCTCTACGCACCTTTTACTCTCTAGCAGAGAAAATAGCTAGCACTCGGGCGACGAGACGCGATAGGAATTTAGGTCACAGGCTTTCGTTTAGGGTTGAGAAATATTTTACGTGCAGTAAATCTACAATATCGGACATCCGGCTTTAGATCTCATACGGAGGAAGTCGTACGTAAGATTTTGTTGACCTTACAAATACGCAGCTTTGTTCGTGATGGAAACCGAGAACTTGGTATCCCAGCCCGGTACCCTAACAGTCACGCCATCGAAAAACAAACCCGCTGTAAACGTACTCACCCCATTCTTTCCCTCTCATCTACATTTCCCCTCACCCCGCCAAATGCTCCGCATCACCCCTTCCTACCCAGCTCTTCTCCGCACCCCTCATCACCCTTTGTGACTATCGTCAAACCAGTTGGGACCCTCGTTGCGAGCAGTGATGTCTTACATGAAACGGAGCAAGTTGTAGTCTAGCTCTTCAGAAGGAAAAATTGAACTTGCTTTTGCTCAATTATCACAGTTATTCTCGCCGATAAATGACATTTTATATCTCTGCCACATACGCGTACAGTGAAGAAAGTAGTTTTACTAGGAATTTATTTCATATTAATGACAACGATTTTGTTGCATTTCTCTTCTACACTATCACGATTCCACATTTACAAACATATTGACGATGTACGTACATCGCGTAAATATTGAACGACATGCCAAGTACGTCTCATTATCCGTGTTTACCATCGGCACACACTCTGGTATCCTGTAAGATCCAAACACCAATTACTCTTTGTGTAATCATTCAGACAAAAATACGCATGTAATTCTCATCAACCGCTTTTGGAGACAAAACGACTTCTAATTATAACAGTGCCTTATTAAAAAGTGCGGAATAACACGCATAATGAATGCACGAATGCACAATGAGGAAAGGAAATACATTGATCTAAATAAATTTATTTTGTAAGAGTGTTAAGGACAATTCGCTTTACCTAGCCGTTACATTTGACCGTATTAAATATAAATGTCTACCGGTTATAAAATTCAATAATTTTATAAAATTACAATATGTAGTAATATTACTAACTAGCTGAACCCGGCAGACGTTATTCCGTCCTTCATCTCGCTCTTTCTCCCTCCACCTCTCTCTCCGTCTCTCTCTCCATCTCTCTCTCTCCGTCTGTCTCTCCGTCTCTCTCTCCGTCTCTCTCTCTCCGTCTCTCTCTCTCCGTCTCTCTCTCTCCGTCTCTCTCTCTCCGTCTCTCTCCGTCTCTCTCCGTCTCTGTCTCTCTCTGTCCCTCTTTCAGTCGGTCTGACTGTGTCTCTCTCTTTGAGCCTACGTCTCCCTGCTCCTCTTCCTGTCTGTCTCCCTCCCTTTGCACGTGTTCCTGCCTTTCTCCGCCTCTCTGCCCTGATCTTGGCCTCGTCCTGCGCCTCGGCAACAGTGAAGCGGAGCACTTGGAATGGGACATGAATTAAAATTAAGCGCAATTTTGTTCTGCAGCGCCATATAGTGGAATTATATAATTGTTCTTTGTTATGTTAATTCTATGCCTTTGATGCATTCTGAAACCATTCGTTTCCATACCAACAGTAAAAACACAGTTAAGCATTAAAAGCTACCAACAACGCTCTAAGTAATCAACATTCTTTTAAAATATGGCTACTTTTGCCATTTTGCAGATCATTTAAAACATACATAAGTTGACACATTTTATTTTACTTTCGTTTAGTATTTACATTGATAAATATATTTTTATCAACAGACATGCATTTTTTTCTTTCTTCCTAGCGAGTAGATAGAAAGACATTTTCCTCGGAAAAACGACACATTTTCGACAGAAAAACTCTTAATACAGGGCCCTGGTAAAGAAAAAGTAGATAAAGCCAGTTGCTAAATTTAGAAAAAATTCCATATTACGTGGTGTAGCCAGAATCCATGTTTTGTGGGTCCTTAATAATGAAAAATTGAATGAGGGAAACGTCTGTGCGACTGTGAACAACGCTAGAGGCTAAACCGTTCAGCCACTTTACTCCAAAATTGCTGTTCCCTAATTGATCTGGCTGATGTCGCAGCCCCTAGAACTTGAAACCGATATTTCAGTTTTAGAGAGTATATTACATGAAGGCTATGGGACATTTTCTAAACTTTCAAAATATGGCTCCAACGTTTTTGATTACATTATATTGATGCGGAGTGTGAAGGGCATTTAACATAAAGGTGCTGGTGTCTTGTTCATTGAAAACTCCACTTTTTCGAAAATTGCAAAAGTTCAAACTTTTTAAGTCTTCTTACGACTGCAATATTAAAGATAGATATTTTTCTCTTAATAAAATCTGTTTCATAAAGACAGATTTTGAAATAAGATCTTAAAATGTTTCAAAACTGTGAATACTTTTTACATAATTAAGCGTGAAAGAACGGGGGAGAAGGTTCGTGCTTTTTTAGCGCCACTAGTTGAGAAAATTGCAAAAGTTCAACAGTTTTTTAGGCGTTGTTCTATACAACTACAATATTGAAGATAATAGTTTCTTCCTTAATAAAATCTGTTTTTAAATACGGATATTCAAATAAGTTGTTTTATAACTTTTCAGAAATGTCAATAATTTGGCGTTATTTTACGAGATATGTAAGTAATTCTTACACAAACATTTTCTCAAAAACGGATACAATTTTATTCTTTAAATATTTTTCTCACGTGTCACTGGACGGTAAAAACATTGGCGGTAGTCCCATTTCCGGCGAAAAATCTGTACTTTCTCAAATTGCAAATGGTTACTTTCGAAAAATGAAGATAGAGATGTTTGCCTTATGCAGAATCTCGTCAAATTAGTTCCCTCTTAAACATGAGAATAAAAAGTTTTAATTTTCGAGTAGTAAATTGAAATTAATGCCAAACTGAAAAAAAACAATTTTCCAAAAAACACTCAACATTTTTTCCTCATTTTTTTTCATGGATACCAGAAGGAACTTTTAAAAGAACGGTTCATGTGCACCTTTTATTGAATTCTATTCTTCTCTGAACTTTTGATAATTGCAGCTATATAAATAATACCAAAAAACTTTGGTGTAGCACAACTAGTTTCAGTATCAATGACCCACAAAACGGAATTCTGACATGATAGTGTACATCCAGCAACTCATTTTATCCACATTTTCTTTTTTAGGGCTCGGAAATATGAGATTGTTTCGAAATACCTCCGTTTTTCGAGCTCAATTACAATATTTTCTCTTCTTTTGAAGTAAGGCAAGAAATAAAAATATAGGCACTCCGTATAATCTAAGAAGCATGTTAATACAAGTACATAGTGTACCTTGCTACTTGAGCTCTGTAGTAAGGAGAGATAAGAATGTGGTTGCGGTAAAGGAAATGCAATGATAATATTCTGTAACAGTCCAATGAATTTGTTTCGAAGCGCTTCCTGTACGAAAGATACATATGGTTGCAGATTATAAAATAACAAACCACTCAAAAAAGGTTTTATATTTGTTTGCCAAGTTAAGAACAACAAATATCATTGCTACATCTTCGGAGTAGATAAATTCCATATATTTAATGAGAATTAAAGTACCACTAAGCATTATGAATGATGTAAGATTTTTTATTATAAAATATATTTACTTTCTCATGGCGTTTATTATGTTTGGATTTACATTTTGCGTAATATACCTGAATTATTAATGAGTATAAAACTTCTTCAGGTTGTTCAGAATTTTTTCACATTTTCTCTTCAGATATAATTTTATGTAAACCTAGTGGTGCTACAGAATGGCTCAGACAATCCCGTATTAGTTTTCTATTTCCTTCGGTCTCGGTCAGCTAATTGCACTTGCCACACACTCTTGCCTGCTCTCATCTATAGTCGCCCAAAGTACATTTTTTAAAACATTCCTAATTTTTCGGTAAAAAATGAAGAACTTCAAAAGTTTGTTGACGTCTTTCTAGAACTACAGTAGCGAAGATTATTTAGAATTTATTCAGAAGGAAAGGAACTGAACTACACACTACCGCAACCTATACAAAAGGATTTCAAAATGAACTAAAATTGCTTCGCGCATACTATCTTTCATTATTTCTTTTAATATATTTTGCAAATTTTTGAAAATGACCGAGTTCAACGTAAATGAGACCTGTGATATTTTAAGGTGTTTTTTGCTCTACCTGAGGAGAAAAAGAAAAACTGATGTTTTTTAGAACAATGTGTCAGTAGTCTTTATTTCATACACAAAATACGCAAAAACTACGACTTAAAAAAAAGGACAAGACGTAACTTTAAGGTTACATTTTTTACAATATTCCATTCTGAGAAAAACCCCTGACATCAATATTTTTTCTGTGTAAATATTTTGCTATTTTCAAAAATAGAGAACATTCATTGAAAATATGCCCTCCGCTAATGGGATGGTGGATAATAGGCTTTATAATGTTTCTCTAAAAAAACAAAAATATAGTTGAACAAGATATTTAAATATTTTTTAAAGATATAAGAGTAAAGATATATTCATAATTAACTATTGAAAATTATAATTTTGTAATGTAACTATTTTACTATTTCATTTTTTTAAAAAAAATAATATACATGAATATATTCTATAGTATTATAAATGAATGTGTAAATAAGTCACTAATGACTACTGTCCTGCACGTTAAAGATCACTTCTGATTCATGTATAAATAAATTAAATAAAACGTATTAGTTATCCTATTAAATTTTTGGAATATTATAATGAACCCTCATAAAGAGAGGCACACCAAGCATTTTCTCAGGGCATCCGCCTTCGCGTTTGATTATAAAGGATAAATAACTTTCGTTAGAATATGTAATAACAGGTTCATTTGTGACTACACATCATTCGTTTTGGCGGAGGCAGAAGCCCCATGAGACTACTCGCTTGGGCGCTCTACTGCTTATAAATACACACGATCAGGTAGCTAGAACAATGCGAGAAAGGGCGCGATGACATAGACAACACAACTTGCAGAAAAAATTACCTGAGCAAAACTTTTTTTAGAGTAAAATAACAGAACGAAACAATAAATGAATTAGACGCCGGTTTCTTTTTCGATCCAGGAACGCAGGCTGGCCACGCTGGTGTAGACGCCGGGGTAGTTGGGTTGGGCGCAGCCGTTCCCCCAGGACACGACGCCCACCTGCACTTCGCCAGCCACCAGGGGGCCGCCGGAGTCTCCTTCGCAGGAGTCCTTGCCCCCCTGGCTGAAGCCGGCGCACAGCATGCGCCGGGAGATGCGACCATATCCGTAATAGTAGGCACATAGATTGTTGGACACGACCGGCACGTGAACGTACTGCAGGACGCTAGCCTGTTTGTTTTCCTGCAGAAACAAAATGCAAGTAAGTTTCGGTGGTTCAAAGCATCAAATGTAATTGCATTGCCTCAAACCGGAAGGCCCTACAGTTACAGTGAAGATAGTGGCAGGATTTTTGACACTAGCTTGGTCGAATTCATCCTCTGTCTAGAGAAGAATTGCAGTGGCTGGTGGCACTCACTAGTTTATTTCCGTAGTTTCTTTCGTCAAAATCCCACGTTGAGTATGTTGGAGGAGAACCCTAACAAACGGGCCATGGACTGCCTACAATTTTCCTTCCTCTCTCTTGCTTTATTCTTACTCCTTGTATTTACGGACACACTTAAACCTACTTGCACTACCCTCTAAAATATGTGGTGGTGACCAGAAGAAAGCTTAGAGCTTGTTCCAGATGAGTCGAGACCTGCTGGTGGGAGATACCTGGTTAGGAAAATCCCGCATGCCGATATGTAAATCAGTTTCGGTTATCAACGTCCAGCGGGGGAAGCTAACTGTCACTCCCGCGATAATAACACGTACTGGACAACCGTGGGGGCTTGAACCACAAGGCCAGGTCTAATAATCATATCAGTTAACGCGTCTCAAAAAACAAATAATCATTCAATCCGTGACGCCTTGGAGAGCATCAGTGCATGATATGTGTTAATGTGTGTGAGCGAGGCAGAGAGCGACATTGAGTACTTAGGAGTAATTCTGGACGCCTCAACTATTGCAATTACGCTCATCAGTGTAGTGCAGGTGACATCCCTGGAAGAACTATCGGTGAGTCTACCCCATTTTAACGTCCAGTATCGACCTTCACGTTGGTTTAGTGTTTTCCAATCACATTAAGCAAACCCATTTTACTACGCCCCAACTCTCCCTGATTAGCACTGACTCTGCATAAGTTCCAAAGCTCCAACTGGTCTCTCGGAATTGTAAGTTTGAGTTATAAAAAATATTACTGCCAAGTAGGGATGCTTAAATTCAAGATTTCGGGTTACACTGCGCGCGGCAACTGCCTGTACTGGCTCTCCTTGCTCGAGGCTAAACCCTTTAACCCATCTTTCTCCTCTCTTAGTAATACGAACTGCATGATGTTCTCACCCTTCCCCCGCCACCCGACTGCCTCAACAAGCGCGGGCTGCGGCGTTGGGCCACTGACAAGCGCTGTCTCGGAGTATGCCCGTTGAACTGCCCACTGAAATGTGTGTGTGAGTCTGCGCGTGGATGTGTGTGCGTACCTGAGTGCATGCGTGTGTAAGAGCGAGGAAGTTAACGATCGGCCAAGCCACCCCCTAGAATTCTCAAGACAGTGGTTGAATTATAGATAGATAGA